CTTTCGTCGCTTGCGTGATCTGATATGCGGAGAGCCGCTGACTTCAATGGCGACGTGATGACGCTCATTCGTGACAATCCAGCCTAGCTCGGCGGGAATGCCGATCGTTGCCCCGTCGCAAACCTTGGGCAAAGCGCACAAGCGACGCGCGCGCTCGCCATGCAACGGCGCTGGCGAGAAGACCGCTGCTGATGCGGGGTTCAGTCTGGCTGGCTGCGACGGTGGCGCTGGGTGCGCCTGCACAGCGACCGAACGCTTTGCTCGCATGACGCGGCTTCGGGCGCTATTTGCGCCGGCCTGCGGGGCGCCCGCTACCGTGTCTCCCACGGCCGATGATGGCGCGGAGTGCGCCTGAACGAAACGGCGGCGCTGCACATGCGCACATTACGCTCCCCCCCGGCGCTGCGTGCGCCTGCACCGCTGTTGTTGCTGCAGCGGGCTGCACATACGCCCGCGACGGTGACGCTGCCTGCGCCTGCGCGGTAAAGAAGCGCTCCGCGCACGACGACCCCTGGCGCTGCGTGCGCCCGCCTGCGCTGATGCTGCTGCAACAACGTCGCCCCCAAGGGCTGACGTTGGCGCTGCATGCGCTCGCGCTGCTGCTGCAGCTGCCTGCACATACGCCCGCGACGGTGACGCTGCCTGCGCCTGCGCGGCAAAGAAACGCTCCGCGCGAACTACAAAGCCCCTGGCGCCGCATGCGCCCGCCTGCGCTGCTGCTGCAACAACATCGCCCCCAAGGGGTGACGTTGGCGCTGCCTGCGCCTGCGCTGCTGCTGCCGCAGGGGCAGCTCCAACCGCTGGCGCCGCTGCTCCCGCAAGCTCCCCGGCACTCGGCTGTGCTGCCGGCTTTGCCCGCTCGACGGGCAACGCTGCGGATGACTGGCTGTCTCTTTCCTCATCGCTGCCGATCTCGCCTTCCTCTAGCGCGCGTTTACCAGCGATCCCGCGCAGGCGCTGCGCCCGCCGCGGCCGCTGCGGCGGCTGGGCAGCGCGGCGGCCCCGGCTGCGGAACTGTCGCCTCAGCGCTGCGCTCTGCTCCCCGTAATTGGACGCGGTGAACGCGCCAAACCGCCGGCGCGCCAGCTCTTTCTTTACCGCCGGCGGCAGAAACTTCGCGGGCTCGGGCGCGCCCTGTGCCGCCAGCAGCTGCATCGCGCGGCGCCGCGCGCCCGCTGCGACCTCCTGCGCGGCTGGCGTATCCCACCAAGCTTTGACCCCTTCGAATCGCAGGGGGGCTGGCAAGCTGGCCACGGCCTCGTGAAACACTTCGTGCATGTACAGACGGACGAAACCCTGCTGCTCACGTCTGGTTCCAGCGTATCGCAACGGCATCATGTTCGGGGCGCCGGTGCTTCCGCCACCATCGCGGGGCGTCCAGCCCCCGCCAACAACGCGCTCTGTCCACGGAAGCTGCACGCTTTCCGCCAACGTCGGCATGAAACGCCTCAGGCTGTACGACGTGATCAGTTTCCTCTCGAGCGGTGAATTCAGACAAAGGCCGATCTCAGACTGCAGAAACTTTGAGAAGTGCGCGAGACGCCAGAGCTGCCCCGTATCCTCGTGCGCCGCGAGGCCCCTTGGCAGGGGGGCGCCTTCGCCGGCAGCCCCTGCGCGCTTATGCCACGCGTCCCAGAGCACATCCGCTGCGCAACGCGGCTCCGCGGTCCGCACCAGGCACCAATCGAAACATCCGCCGCGCTTTCCGCGGTAACATCTGAACCAGGCCAGCGCTCTCGTCCTTTCAATCGGGTACGACCGTGACAAATGCTGGAATCTCAGCCACCCGTGGCACAGCGCGATCGCTGCAGCGGCGGGAACCTCGAGCCAACCGCGCTGCGCTGCCTGTGCGGCAAGTATCTGATGCAGGAACGATACCATGCACGGCTCGAGCACGGTCGCTTGCCGCAACTCTCCCCCCGCTTTGCTCGCGGGCCGCGCGTCTGGCTTCATCGCGTCTTCGAGCGCGAACGGCGCACCGAGATACTTCTGCAGCCACTTCAACCGATTCCACACGCGCACCCCGGAGGCTTGTTCACCGCACATATGACATATGAACTCGTCCACCATCAGTGTGCTGCCAGCAGCCTCCGCGGAGAGGGGCTCGAGCTGCCGTGCTCGGGCCCACGCCTCCCATCTCGCCCAGACGCGCAGCGCGTCCCGGACCCCCGCGCTCGCGAAGCGCGCCAGCCTCTTCGCCGCCGCGGACCCGGGTCCGCACAAGCGCTGCGCCTGGCCCTCGGGGAGCCCCCGCGCCAAGCCGTGCGCTGGGCCCCAGGACGCGGACAGCTGCACCGCTGCCCCGGCCGCGCTGGCGCGCTGCGCGGCGTCCGCCTCCTCTGTGCCGGAGGCGCTCGCCGCCGCGCGCTGCACGCCGCGCCCCCCTCTTGGCGGGCGCAAGCCAGGGAGGACCATCGCCAGCGCGCGTGGCGGAGCGTCCGCCTTGCGCGCGGGCGGCGCTGACTGCGCCTCGCGGGCCACCCTGTGCCACGCTGCCACTCGCGGATGCCCCGCGAGCTGCCGAGCTCGCCGCCACGCCTCCTCCTGTCCCGAGGCCGCGGCTGCCTCCACCGTGGTAAAGAAATATGCCAGGTCGTCGACGTCCTCGACGCCTACCTCCCTGACGAAACACCAGAAGCGAGCGCGCGCGTCGACCGGCAACGTACTCCCTATGGCGGCCAATCCACATTCGCCTGCCATCGCCACCGCCAAGCAAATGGATGCGAAGCGCAAAAGACAGCAGAGAAACCCGAGAAAAATCAAATCGCAAGGTGAGCGCGGCCACCGCGGCCCGTCGCCCCCCCTTCCTCGCAGCCCCTCGGCGCGGGCAGCAAAGGGGGGGGGCGCCCCCCCCCTCTCTTCGCCCCTGCGCCCCGAGCTGCATGCGCGGGCGACGTTTCCAAGGTGTCCGCGCGCGTACATTATGAAGCACTCACCCATGCCTGCCCGGGCCTAAAGTGCACCCACGTCTGGTTCCAGCGTATCGCAACGGCATCATGTTCGGGGCGCCGGTGCTTCCGCCACCATCGCGGGGCGTCCAGCCCCCGCCAACAACGCGCTCTGTCCACGGAAGCTGCACGCTTTCCGCCAACGTCGGCATGAAACGCCTCAGGCTGTACGACGTGATCAGTTTCCTCTCGAGCGGTGAATTCAGACAAAGGCCGATCTCAGACTGCAGAAACTTTGAGAAGTGCGCGAGACGCCAGAGCTGCCCCGTATCCTCGTGCGCCGCGAGGCCCCTTGGCAGGGGGGCGCCTTCGCCGGCAGCCCCTGCGCGCTTATGCCACGCGTCCCAGAGCACATCCGCTGCGCAACGCGGCTCCGCGGTCCGCACCAGGCACCAATCGAAACATCCGCCGCGCTTTCCGCGGTAACATCTGAACCAGGCCAGCGCTCTCGTCCTTTCAATCGGGTACGACCGTGACAAATGCTGGAATCTCAGCCACCCGTGGCACAGCGCGATCGCTGCAGCGGCGGGAACCTCGAGCCAACCGCGCTGCGCTGCCTGTGCGGCAAGTATCTGATGCAGGAACGATACCATGCACGGCTCGAGCACGGTCGCTTGCCGCAACTCTCCCCCCGCTTTGCTCGCGGGCCGCGCGTCTGGCTTCATCGCGTCTTCGAGCGCGAACGGCGCGCCGAGATACTTCTGCAGCCACTTCAACCGATTCCACACGCGCACCCCGGAGGCTTGTTCACCGCACATATGACATATGAACTCGTCCACCATCAGTGTGCTGCCAGCAGCCTCCGCGGAGAGGGGCTCGAGCTGCCGTGCTCGGGCCCACGCCTCCCATCTCGCCCAGACGCGCAGCGCGTCCCGGACCCCCGCGCTCGCGAAGCGCGCCAGCCTCTTCGCCGCCGCGGACCCGGGTCCGCACAAGCGCTGCGCCTGGCCCTCGGGGAGCCCCCGCGCCAAGCCGTGCGCTGGGCCCCAGGACGCGGACAGCTGCACCGCTGCCCCGGCCGCGCTGGCGCGCTGCGCGGCGTCCGCCTCCTCTGTGCCGGAGGCGCTCGCCGCCGCGCGCTGCACGCCGCGCCCCCCTCTTGGCGGGCGCAAGCCAGGGAGGACCATCGCCAGCGCGCGTGGCGGAGCGTCCGCCTTGCGCGCGGGCGGCGCTGACTGCGCCTCGCGGGCCACCCTGTGCCACGCTGCCACTCGCGGATGCCCCGCGAGCTGCCGAGCTCGCCGCCACGCCTCCTCCTGTCCCGAGGCCGCGGCTGCCTCCACCGTGGTAAAGAAAAATGCCAGGTCGTCGACGTCCTCGATGCCTACCTCCCTGACGAAACACCAGAAGCGAGCGCGCGCGTCGACCGGCAACGTACTCCCTATGGCGGCCAATCCACATTCGCCTGCCATTGCCACCGCCAAGCAAATGGATGCGAAGCGCAAAAGACAGCAGAGAAACCCGAGAAAAATCAAATCGCAAGGTGAGCGCGGCCACCGCGGCCCGTCGCCCCCCCTTCCTCGCAGCCCCTCGGCGCGGGCAGCGAAGGGGGGGGCGCCCCCCCCCTCTCTTCGCCCCTGCGCCCCGAGCTGCATGCGCGGGCGACGTTTCCAAGGTGTCCGCGCGCGTACATTATGAAGCACTCACCCATGCCTGCCCGGGCCTAAGTGCACCCATAAAGTTGCAATTCGATGCTAGTCAGAGCCACGCGATGGATTGCACTGCTACCGACCAGCCAGAAGCAAAGCAAAGACACGCAACGCAAAATTATGCATAGACTGACCATGCCAAACAATGCAAAGCACAGCAAGTCAAATCGCAGACTCGGAATGCATCGCAACGCGCAGCTACGCGACGCTTTCCAAAGAAAGGAAAGCGGCGAAAATGAAACCACGCAAAGACTTCGCGGCGTTGGAGGAGAACGCATCAAGGCATTGCGACGCAGACGAGGGTCAATCAAAAGACCCCCTGGGATTCCCAAAGGAACTTCGGAAACCGCCCATGGGGCTCGGCAGGGGGGGCACGAAGCCCCCGTGGATAAGGGCCGCGCACCTGTGACCATCGGCGCTGAATAGCGAACGCACGTCGTCGAAGCCCACGGCGCGCCGCGCGACGCGTAATCTGAAGGGCGCCGCACGGCAGCGGTTGATCTGCGAGCGCTTCGCCAGTCCGCGCCATCGCGATCGCCGCGCGGCGCAGCGCGCGATCGCGCTGTCCCAGATTGGCGGCGGGACCAGAGGCGGCACCTAAGATTCAGCAAGAGCGGCCACGAGCCACCGCGACGCAGCGGCTCGCGGGCGGCCGCGTCATGATGGCGGCGATCGCGGCCTGGCGGCGCAGCGCCCACTCGCGCGAACGATCGCACCACTCGGGCCGCGCGCGGCCCCGACCAGCCTTCGCGGCGCCGGCACCGGCCAGAGAGATCGCACCATGCGCGAGGCGCCCCCCCAGGCGCGCGCCCCCGCCCGGTCGCGCGGCGAAGCAACGCAGGGCCCTTTGAAAGCCTGGAGAAGGCCGCCGCCCAAGCCAAGACCTTGCGACGCTAGCGCCTCGGAGCGCGCGCAAGCCCCCGGCGCGCGGGCGGCCCGCGGTCGCTGCGCCATAGGCTGGAGCAGCCCTGCAGCAGCGGGGCACTGCGCTTGTTCGACGAGGTCGTAAGCGCTGCCGCGCGCAGCGCGGCCCCGCGCCCCTTCGCGCGCCGGGCGGAGCGCCGCGCCTCATCGACGCATCGACGCCGAAGAGCTGATCCACGGCACCGCCCTGCAAAAAGTCGCGCGACAGGCGCGGCGCGCCGTTCCAACCGCAAACGCGGCGCCGGGAAAGCTGCGACCTCCGTCGCGCGATCGGCGCGACGATAATACTCATCGCCTGGCACGCGCCTCGCGCTTGAGTCTGGGCTCGCACAGCTCCTGGCGCGCTGGGCTGCGCTGCCGACGACGCCCTTGTCGCAGCGGGGCCTTCCGGTCCGCGCCGCGGTCATAGCCGAGACCCCGTTGCGCGCGGAGGGCGCGCCCCCTGCCGCGACTGCCGGCGCTGGCGCTCGCGGCCTGCTAGGGCCCGCCGCGTATGCCGCGAGTGCGTGCGCTGCTCGGTACATTGCCTCCCCTTCTTTTCAGCTGAACTCAGGAATCCGCTGCGCGCCTGAATGCGAAGAAAACGCGGCGGGCGAAGCGATTCGCGCAACAGCCACGCAGACAAAGACTTTGCGCGCGGGGAGATCAAAGGTCGCAGTCCGCATGTCATAAAGCGCGGGCCAATGACTCTCGGCACCAGCAGTGCTCGCTCAATGCCGAACGACCCCGCCAAGCTCCGCCCAGCGCGCTCGCGCTGATCATGACGATACCTTCCGGTCGAAGCTGCGCCAGCCACTGCCGCGACACCGACAACTCGCGCCGCGGGCCTCGCCTGTTCTCGAAATGACCGTACGCGATGCGGAAACTTTCCTCGATCGCGCTTGCCTCGTCCGTTGGGCTCTGGCCCCGCGGGAACAATTGCGCCGCGGTCAGATTGTCCGCGCCGCCGAGGAGCAACCCAGCGGCGACGCCCGCGCACGCGAAGGGACGCAAACAACGCATCGCACTGACAAGGTCGACTCGGCCACTTTGCGCGCGAGCGGATGTGCTTGGGTCGGTTCGATCGGCGCGGAAGCGCGCCCCCGTGCGCCCGCTGGCGGAGGCGGCGGCGGCGGCCGCTCGCGATTTGGACAGGCGTCGCGGGGCGCGGCGAGCACGCCGGTTCGACCTGCGCGCCCTCGCTGTCAGGAGCCAACGTGGAAGGGAGGGAGAGCCGCATAGACATCGGCGCTTGGACTCACGTCTCACAAGGCAGCGCACGAACCGCGAGATTGACAGCGCTGGCGACGGCGCCGCGCTTCCATCGGGCCCAGGCCCAAAACGTTGCCCCGCCCCCTCCTCGACTGCGGGGCTCGCTGAAACATCGGGCACTCTTGCGGCAGAATGCAACAGAGAGCTTTTCGCACTTGCGGCGGGGCTGGGATGGGGACATAGGACGCGGCTGCAAGGCATGATGGGGAAAGGCAAAGGAAGCGAGCGGCAACTGGAGGACGCGTCGCCCGACCGATTCTGGACCCCACAGTGGAGGCTCGCCGGGGGCTAAGAGTTATACTGATGGTTGTCTGGCTAATACTGAGCGCTCGCGAGGCGCGGGCCCTGGTGGAGCGGAACGCCTGGGCGCGCGTGCGTGCCCGCGGGGCCGCCCGCGCCACGAACGGCGCAGCGAGCGTTCCGTCGTCTCGCAGCTGAGCCCTGCCGCCTCTCTTGCGCTGAGCGAACTCACGCGCGGGCCGGCGCCCAGCGCTGGCTGGAAGAATGAAAGCTTCCGCGGGCTACGGCTGCGCGCGCGCCCGCGCGTTGCCAGAGCGCGCCGATGGCGCGAGCAGTGCCCTGTCGGGACCGTATACGCGAGACGCGCGAGGGACGACGATGTTGACCTGTCCGCGCGACCCCGAGGTATCGTCCGATATTTCTGAAGAGACAGGCATCCCCGTCAAGTGAGTTATGATGGAGCCAGCCAGGCGCTGGAGCTCCACATCGCTCGCCGGGGATTTCATCAACCGCGACGCCGACGCTAACACGCCCATGGCTTTCATCATGGGCTTGGCGCTTGGCTCGGAAACTTCATGTATTAACCGAACCAGCGCGTCGCGCGCCTTCCTCCCCCCCGCCCCTAGACGCGGCGCGAGCTCTGATATTTCCTTTCTGAGAGCGTCCAGGCGAACGGTCTCCGCCTCGATGTCGGACACGTCTTGCCCGCTTCGCGCCGACGCGAACGCCGCTGCGCTCGCGCGTCGCAGCCCTCGAGCCGACGCGCGCGCGAGATGGCGGCGCGCGCGTCGACCGCGGCGCGGCCCGCGCGAGGGAGCCGCGCGCAGCGCGCGCGCGCGCCCCTGCGCGGAGGCGCGCCTTCTTGGGCTGGCGCGCTCGGACTGCCGAAGAACTTCGGAGAGGTGCCCGCGATTTGCATGCCGCCAACCCCCTCGCGCATTGCAGTGCCGTTGCGGCGGCGCGCCGCGTCTGCGACGCTGAGTGCGCGGCCGCTCCTCGTGCGAAGCGCCGAGAATCTGGTTCGCCGCGCGCGCAAACTTGGACGCCATGTCTGCGTCGGCTTCAGCCTCGCCGACGAGATGGGCAAGTCGACCGCGGACGCTTTGCGCGTCTGCAAAGCCCCCCCCCCGCGCAACTCGCCGCGCCCCAGGGCGCCGACCCCCTGGGCTGGGCGAGGCGCCGCAACTCGCGGCGCCGAGCGGCTGCTCGTAGAGCCGCCATCTCGCGCTGGCTAACGACGCGAAGCGCGTGGCGAAAAGCAAATCTGGGCGTGCCCTGCGCTCCTTGGAAGGCGCGGACGTCTGGCCCGCTGCCGCTCGTATCCTGCCACGCAAGCGAAGGCCGCGCGCGCGCGGCAACGCGGTCGCGTTGGTCTGACCCGCGCGGCGAAATCATATTGCACGCGCGCGGCCTCGGCCAGGCCAGTTCGGGCGCTCGCGCAATCCACTTCGGGGCAGCCCGCGAGCGCCGTCGCGGGGCGACCGCCCACGCCCTGCTCGGCAGCCGCAGCGGCGGCGCCATGGAGCTGCACGAGCGCAGCGACGGCACACTACGCGCAGAGAGCCATGGCTGCAGCCCCCCCCTCCTCGGAAAGCGCAGGCCTAAAGGCAAAAGAACCTGCCGCAATTCCGCCCCGGGCCGCGCGGGCTGATGGCGTGTGCAAGTTTCTGCGTGCGCAGGACGGTTCGCCCATTCGGAGTCGGACCCGCGGCGTAATCGTTGAGCTTCGCCTTAAATGCCAGCGGCCGCCCTGCCTCGCTTGTCAAACGCTTGCGCGTAGCATCAGGCACTTGCCCCACAGGTTGCTGCATGCGTCCAACGCGCGCGCGCCTGCGTATGTCTGCGCGCTTCTTGCGGGTGGGCGAGCTCGAGGGGGCGGGAATCGACTGGGAGCGGAATCCTGGTTTCCCTGAGCCACCGTCAATGCACTTCGCCCTGCGCCTCAAGAGATTTACTAAGAGCGCGGCCCAGAAAAAAAAAAAAACTGGTTGCGCTGTCGCACTGCACTCTATGCTGGAGTTGCATGCGCCTCGGCAACAATGCACCGCCTCGGCGAGCGGAGAAGATTCGCTTCCCCATCGCTGCAGACCACGGGGTACAAGCTCGACACTGGGCGCTGCGTCCTGGGCGGCGTGCCCCTGTCCTGGATGCGCCGCGATGCGCCCAGACTGCGCCGCGCGCAATGGGCCCCTTAGCACGTGCTAGATTGGGGTCCACAGAGAACACTGCGATGTTCTGGGCCCTCGCGCCAAAACCAGACGACAAATCCAACATCCACGGATCACGCGTGAAATTTCGCGGCTTGGCACCGCGCGCGCACGGTCGCCACTTCGCGCGTTTGCGAGCAGCCGCGCATAATGCAGCGCTCGACGCTGCGCGCAGCGATGTGAGACCAGGAGGACGATGCGTTTCCTACAGGGACGCCAATGAAAGGGACTGCTGAGACCGCGGCGTTGCATCTCATACTGACTTCGAGAAGTGCGAGTGACAGCGTCATGCGGCGACCCTGTGAGTGAAGCCGAGCAAACGTGAGAAATCGGCATCGCCGGTCTCAAAAGTTCCTTTCCCTGGGGTCCCTGTTGGAACCACGTGAGAAGGCGCGCTAGCATCGGACTGCGGCAATGAAGGAAACCAACCATGGAACCTACGCGCGCATCGCCCTCGCCCTCGCGCCCCGTGGCGCAGCGAGGCCTGGTCAGCTGGGAAGCGGTGGAACACGTTTTTCCTGCTCGGCTGCAGCCCCCCCCCCCGCCCCCTCCCCATGCAGACGTTCGCGCTGCCGGCGCCGTCGCCATTGCCAACCTGGACGTTATTGCAACTACCTGCTGTGGGTGCTCCTGCTGACACCCTTGCGCTTCTGCTTCAACCTCCAATTGAACTGTTGATGCTGCAGCCGACGCGGCTGCAACTGCAGCTGCAGCTGCGCCAACTGCGGTCGCTCATGCAGCGCACTGGCTGAGCGTTGTGCTCGCGCAGGTGAAGACGCATCGGCGATGCGTCGGCCGCGGTAACACCGCTGGCCTTCACCGTCGCAGGGACTATATGTCGCCCCCGGAAGTCATCCGAGGCACAGGACGGCATCGCTGCGACGAAGGCAACGGACACGGGGCCCCTCGAAGCCATCGCGCAGGTCTGCAACGAAGTATGACCAGTGACGTTCATCGTCGGCGCAGGTGCCACTTCCTTCGCGCGCGGCGCTGCCTGCGCGGCCACGGCGGCGGCCGGCGGCGAGGCGGCATCGCCGCCAGAGGCCGTCGCGAGCATGGCCGAGGACCTCGTCTTTGAGGAGCACTGCGGCCCGTTGCGGGCAACCAGGAACGCAGGAAGTGCCAGCTGGAAGCGCTGCCAGCCGCGCGAGCGCGCGAGGTCGACGGCGACCGCGGCGACGCGGACATTGATGTTTTCAGCATCGGCAGGAACTGCTGTTGGCATTCGCCTTTTCTTCCGACGCGATCTCGATCGGGCCGAGGCGCCC